TGATATGTCGTCCAGATCCAATCTTTGAGTGGTTTGATACAAGTCACTCAAGTTTCTATATTTTCTCGGAGGAGATTTAGGGCTCGATGATGAAGAGGAGGAGCTTGCGACGTGATTTGAATGAGGGGTAGTAGGTGGTGCCAGAGCAGTAGGTGGTGATGGCAGATCAATTTCATCTTTGTGAACTTTATTTGTAGGATTTTGTAATTCATCATCTTTCATCTCCACTCGAATTTCATCATTATTCTCGATGGGTCCGTCCCAGATTTTGTCTTCATTGAATAAAACATCTCTACTAATTATTACTCGCTTGGTGAGGGGATTGTATAATTTATATGATTTAGACTGATCGTTGTAACCTACAAATATCACTTTTTCTGATCTATCGTCGAGTTTGCTTCTTTTCTACTCAGGGACATAACAATAAGCCAAACAACCAAATGTTCTCAGGTGACTTACTCCAGGTTTATACCCGCACCATGCTTCTTGAGGAGTGATGCTTTCAAGGGCTTTGGTGGGTGCTCTATTCATCAAATAGGCAGCGCACGCAACTGCTTCAGCCCGGAACATATCAGGTAGTTTTTTACTCTTAAGCATGCTCCTTGCCATCTCTAATAAGCTTCATTTTTTTTCTCTCGGCCACCCCATTTTGTTGGGGGGTGTAGCGTGTAGTGAGTTGATGATGAATTTCGTTGTCCTTTTAAAACTTTTGGAACTGATTTGAATTGAATTCCCCTCCACGGTAAGTTCTTAAGCATTTTATCCTTTGATCACTTTGATTTTTGACGAACGCTTTAAAGGCAACAAATGATCCAAACACTTCAACCTTCTCTTTCATAAAATACGTCCAAATTTTTCTGCTATAGTCATCAGTGAACGTTAATATGTACTTGCTTGCTCCTATTGAGACTGTACTCATTGGTCTGCATACATCTGAATGGACAAGTTCTAGTATCTTTGATGCTGGCCATGCCTTTTCATGTGGGAATGCTTCTCTTACGTGTTTTCCCAGAGTGCATCCTTCACATATTTCATTTGTTTTGCTTATGCTAGGCATTCTTCCAACCATGTTATGTCGACACATATACGAAAGTGAATCGAAGTTGACATGACCATAGCGGTGGTGCCATAGTAATGAAACATCTTGACTTATCATATTAAAATTAAATAAATGTTCATCTTGAAATCTTATAGAAAACATTTTATTAGCAGACTTGGGTACCTTTACTAGGAGTTTCTTGTTCCCATCCTTAATTTCGACTGTTCCGTTCGAGAAGTGAATGTCATATCCTTTTTGTAGAAGTTGTCCAATACTTAGTAAATTGTGTTTAAGACCAGGCACGCAGTACACATTTGGAATCTTCTTACTTCCTTTGTTGGTCTTCATTAAGATGTCACCATTCCCTTGCACATCGAGTTTTTTGTCGTCTCCCATTCGTACTTCTCTTTTTATTAAATCATCAATTGAAACAAATAAGTCTTTGTTTCCTGACATATGGTTGCTGCAACCACTATCCAAGTTTCATACTTCCTTCAGGGATTGTTCCTGCATTTCTAACAACATGAACATAGACTCATCTTTCGTGGTTTCTTCCATGTGCATAAAAGTTGTACCATTTCTTTCTTATGCGATTCTTTTTCTGCAAAAGCGTATCGTATGTCCAAAGTTTTGACAGTGGTAGCATTGAATCTGCGAAAATGGTTTTCCTCGACCCTTTCCTTTGTTACTTACACTTTGATCGTTGCGCTTTTCGCTTGTGTTCCATTGATTATTAGATTGCAGTTGGAATGCGTGTTCCAACGGTTGTGTATCGAATTGTTTGATTCTGAGTTCGTATGACTGCAATATCCCTTACAGGTTTTCAAGGGAAAGTTCGGATATATCTTTCGATTCTTCGATTGCTACAACGATGTATTCGAACTTTCTTGTTAAGCTTCTCAGAATTTTTTCTACCACTCTTCGATCATCGATTGTTTCACCGTTCAATCGCATTTGATTTAGCAAAATGATCACTCGGTTATAGTATTCTTCTACGCTTTTGGTTTCCTTCATCTTTATGTTATCGAATTCACATCTCAAAGTCTGCAATCTTACTATTTTCACTCGTTCTTCTCCACGATATGTCCTATAGAGGGTGTCCCATGCTTCTTTTGCTGTTCTTGAAGAGGAAATACATTCGAAGATGTTTTCGTCCACTGCCTGAAATATAAAAAATAGTGCCTTTCTATCTTTTCTCCTATGCTCTTTATCTTTGAGGATTTGTTGGGGTGTTGTTCCTTCTATCAGAACCAATTCTGTGTAGCCATTTTCAACAACATACCAGAGATCCTGCGATTCGTACAATACTCGCATTTGTATGTTCCGGTGATGATAATTTCTACCAATTAGTTTCGGTAATTAGGGTTGTAATGTATTGTTGTTTGCAGCGTTTGAAGCCATCGATAAATTGGCTCTTATACCAATTTGTTGGAGAATACACAGTAAGATGTTATATCAGATATATCAAATATACAACTTTTCTTATCAGAACATCCATTCCAACTGACACACCTGTTGCAACAAAGATAATTAAATATATAAAAAACTAACTTGACTTGACTTATCTAGCTTACTATTTTAACACAATTGTGTTTTCTTGAGCTTGAGTCAAGAATCCAAAGCCTATAGAATGTATTTGGTCTCTAAAAAATTAGTTGTGAATAAGGATGTGGTGTTTGAAGAAGATAAGAAGTGGGATTGGGGTGATTCAACTAAAGAAGTTGAGATACCCACTTTTGCACGGGGAGATGAAGATATTTACCTGACGAACCTATGAATGCAGAAGCAGAATAACAAGTTGAAGAGGAAGAACAATAGGATGGCGATGCTACTAATAAATAAGAAGAACAGTTGGTTGGAAATAATGCAAGAAGTCGGGCTATAAGGCTACAGACCTTTTTTTGAAGACTGTGTAAGTGGATCTGAATTAGATGAAGAAATTAAGTTAAGAATGTTTACATTCTTAGACATTCCTATATCCTTCGAAGAAGACATTAAAATCCCGAAGTGGAGAAAATCAATGGACCTAGAAATCAAATCCATTAAGCATAATGGAAGTTAGGAACTGACTACCCTTTCAATTGAAGAAAGAAAAATTGGAGTAAAATGGGTGTTTGAGACCAAGCTAAACGAGACATGGAAAATGGATAAACTTAAAGCAATACTCGTTGCAAAGGGCTTTTTACTGAAATTTGGAATTGATTATACCGAAGTCTTTGCACCTGTGGCTAGATAGGATACCATTCGAATGATCATTGCTCTTGATGCTTTCAATCGGTGGTGGTTAACGGTGGTTCAAATCGTTAGTAATCGGTGATAGTGGATGGTTATTCAGATAGGTGATGGTCGGTGATGGTCGATGGTGGTTCAGATTAAGTAAGGAAGATGGAGAAAATTTTGTGTTTTTGAGAGAATTGGATGGAATAGAATTTAATTCTTTCTCAATTGTGATGTAATGACCAAATCCATGAATGGTGTAACGTGTGGAATTCAATTCAATTCCATAGATAAACCAAACTCCTAAACGGAATTTGGTTAATGGGATTGATTATTCCAATTTCTTCGAATTTGGTCGGAATCCTGCGAACCAAACGCCCCGTAAAAGTAAACCTCCCACTTGTGAACAAATTGTGAAGACCCTTATATGAAAATTCTTAAGGTTGTTTTCATTATGTTCACCTTATGTACATATCCAATTGTACATGTGTATACATGTATATTACAAGAGATATATATGTATATATATACATATATATATATATATGTATGTGAATGATTGTGTAAGAAGAAGAGCTAAGGTGAGAAGCGTAAGAAGGGAGAGTTGGGTTCCGGTGAGAATGAGAGTTAAGATGAGAAACGTACGAAGAGATCTCCACCCTTGGACGCACATTAGGATGAGATGATGCACCGTGATGTACCAGATCAATCCTCATATGAAATGCGATTCATAGGTGGGTTTGAGATTAAAGGTGATTAAGGGTTCAGATCTCTTCTTACGTTTCTCACATTAACACTCCTACTCACACAATCTATGCCTGAATATACACACACACACATCAGGGACGTTTACAAACCATCTAATTCTAACAAACTATACCAACCATAACCAATGTTTATATTAGGAAATAATAAATATATTTATGAACAATTGATAATATATATATATATATATATCTATATGAAAGATGAAAAAGTTCATTCATTACGATCATGATTTTCGATTAGGAAACAAAATGAAATAAGATATTTATTAGATTAGATGCACGACTAAGATTGGTTTGTAAATGAAACGTCTCCTATATATATATTTGTGGAATTTGATTTAACCTAAAAAATGCATTAATTTTTTTAAACTAGTGATTTAGGATGGACCTCACATATGTTACCAATTTTTCAAATTGTAGAGTTGTCAAATAATTAAGCTCTTATATTACATTTAAAAAAATATATTTAAAAAGAGTAAAATATTAAAGTCAGAAAGAAAGTTATGAAGTTAGTGTTAGGTGATCTAATTTATAACGAAAATGAAAGGATTGGTATCCAATCCAGATTTTTCATATAATCACAAAGACGCATTTTGGAGTTTTCCAAAAGAAATTGAATTTTAATTGTTGTAACTGATTTCATCACTTTAAAATATCAAGATGGAGTAATCTACCATCGTGATTAACCATTTTCACAAGGGCATTTTAGGAATACCCCCTTTTCATCTCCTTCGATCTCTCCCATCGCCATTATCATAGGATATAATATATATATACGTGGATGTTAACAGTATGTTATACACAAATAAGACCCTTTGCATGTGCCCTCTTCCCCTCGAAGTCCTCTCTCTCTCTCTCTCTCAAAAGTGATTCTTTATGTATAAAGGGCATTGTAGCAAACCCACAAAAAGTTCAAATCGAAATCTCTCTTTTCCTGTTTGTATGTAATATTTCCAAGAAAACAACAACAACCGAAAATGACTGATTCATCATCATCATCTTGGTATCAAGTCTATGTAAAGCTCAGATTTTTTTCCAGAATCCGACGGTTGCTTGTCCACAAGAACTCCTCCAGCAAGCAATATGGGCCGTCCGCCAGTCAGTCCGGTGATCATAGGCGGACGCAAGAGATCATCGTTGATCAAGGAGAGACGAGATTTGTTGCAGGGATCAGTGAAAGTAATAATTGTGGTGGTGGTGGTGGTGATGATGATGATGATGATGATGATGATGATGATGGGATTTTGCAGAGGTCTGTGAAGAGTCTTCACTTTGGGAGCCGGGAAGAGAAGGCGGCTGCAGCCAGAGAGATTAAGAGGCTCGCCGGAGATGACTTGAGGCGGCGGAAGTTGATGGCGGCCCTTGGTGTTATTCCGCCGTTGGTGGTCATGGTTGGTTCGGAATATGCAGCAGATCATCGGAGGTTGGCTGTACAAGCTTTACTTGAGCTAGCTAACGGCACCTGCACGTAAGTTTCAAATCTTTATGTATTTTTTATTTTCTAATTACATATTTAAATACTGAAAAACATATTAATTATATTTTTACCAAGTCATAATTACATCATCATCAATTTCATCAAACTTGTTATATACCATATAGTTATTAAAATTAAATAAAAACTATATGACTCATAAATATTGGTTTATATAATTAAAAAAAGTTAAAAAAAAACATATATAATGCCTTGAAATGTATCCATATTTAACAGTGCTTGAGATTGTTTATTTGAAATAACTTATGTTTTTTTACAAAAGCACTTATCAACTTATTATAAGTCAGAAAAGTTTAATTATTTCAAAAATTTCTTATTACCCGTTTGGCACCGATATAAGTTGTTTATTCAAACATTTAAAAATGTTTATTACCGGTACCACACCGGAATATAGAATTTAACTAATAACTTGTATAGTAATAAAATTTTCAATGTTATTAATGAATTTAAAGTGGAAAAAGGAACACATTTATTATCTGAAAATGAGATGTATGTTTATAAAAATAATTGAAAATTGAGTTTTAATTGTTTAAATGAATATTAGTCTAAGCATGTTTAATTAATGTGCGGTTTTGAGATAAAAAGGCAATCATTAATGGGACTAGAACCAACTTCACATATGGGAGCCTAGTGGCCAACTTTGACCTTTTTAAGCCAAAAGTCAAATTATTTATTTATTTTTTAAAATATACAATATCATAATTTTATTTGAACGGATAGAACAAATAACATAAAAATGAAACCTAACCTATTTTGTTCTAGTTTTTTTTATATAAACGTATTTTGGGTTCCAAGGTCAAAAAGTATCTGGAGTTTTCAGATTCGATCTAAGAAATAATAAAAATCCCAATATTAATTACAAGGATGGTGTCTGATTGGTTTGAGCTTAGCTCCAAAGGTCAAAAATATCATGAGGTCCCAAGTTTAAATCCAATGAGAAATAAAAATTTTATAGCCACAGAGATTAAAATACGGTGACTTCGGGCTATCTGCAAAGCAGGTGATCGTTCTGGGATTAGTCGGCTCACATAGCGGGTTGGATATCCAGGTTAATAAACAAAAATCTCAATATGGCCACGGAAGTTTAAATACAGTGACTTTATAGATAGTTGATCTATGATTAGTTGGCTCGAATATCGAGTTGGATATCTAGATTAATAAAATAATAATTTAATAAATTAGGGTTTTAATTTCGCATTATGGGCCATGGTATGCATTGACTCTCCACTAGAATCCATGACGGTAGGAATGGGTTGGAAGTGGAATAATAGCAGTTGTTAGGCAGACAATTTCTTTTTTATTAATGATAAAAATAATAATTTATGGGATCATGTTGTCTTTAAATTATTTCATTTGAAATAAAATATTTATAATTTTCAAATTAAAATGTTTCAAAGCAACAGTTTTAGTTGTCATATCCATTAAGTCATGAACAATTTGAAAACTTAAACACAGAAATATATATATTTTATCATCTGCTTATTAATTAATACATTTTTATAGAATTATTATGTGAAGGAATTGTTTTAGCATATTTGCATTTTATTTGATTTAGATATAATAATGTTGAAGCTTAATTAATAAATTAATTATACAGTTCCAAGAGTTTGTTATTTTGATTTACTAAGAAATTGAATAATATTCGTATCCTTATATAATAATTGAAATATTATTAATTATATATATTTCAGATCTTGCAAAAATAGATGTTAGGAAACTGCATTTGTTGACCTTAGGACTATCTTTGATCATATTCATGGATATAGTTTTAAAACCCTGTTGACTTATCATAATATTCATGTTCTCTTTAACTTCTTGTGGGTTAGTATCCAAAAGGTCCCATTTATATATATATATATATATATATATATATATATATATATATATATATATATATATATATATGTATGTATATATGTATGTATAGAGAGAGAGAGAGAAAGAGAGAGAGAGTATATTTCAAATACAATCATGTCCATTTGTACAACCAATGCAACTCAATTAATTGAGATATTTATAGAAATGATGAGAGTTTATTTATATTATGATTTGAATATTTATGGAAGATGAATAAGGTTTCTTAATTATAACCAATACTTTATATTAGAAAACAATCAAAACTTCTATGAAATCACATATTCATCAAATTAAATGAACGGTTGAAATTGGGTTGTATTGATTGTACAAATGTAAAAGATTGTATAATAACCAACCTATATATATATATATATATATATTTATCAATGTGTATATTTATGAATGAATACATACTATACAGTCATCTACGAACATATTAACTTGTACTTGTATTATGTCAATTACTATACTTAATAATAATAAATACACACTAAAATAGTTCTTTATTTTTCAAATATTTGTGGTTCTTATCTGAAATGGACTCTATGTCATGTATGTGCATGTGAAAATATATTATTATTCGTTTTTTAACCTTTTCGAGTAAGAAATATTAAAGAGTATTATAAGGTTTTTTTAAACAAAATCTTATTTTTCGTTATTTTTTGTTTGTCAGGAACAAGGCTCTCATCGTGGAGGCGGGAATCTTTCTAAAGTTATCTCAGAACGTTAATATCGAAGAATCTATCAAACCTGAATTTGCACAATTAATCATGTCGTTATCTTCACTAGTGAATGCTCAATTTCCTATTGATTCATCAAAGATTCTTCCACTGGTTCTGTACATGCTTGAATCAAATTCAAGCGTTGAGACCAAACTATTGTGTCTGGGTACACTGTATAATCTATCGAACATGATAGGCAATGTTGGATCGTTGGTTACGAATGAGGTGATACACATTCTATTGAAGTTGTCATCAATGAAAGAAGCCTCAGAGAAAGCTCTTGCAACATTAGGGAATCTTGTGGTAACTTCGATGGGGAAACAAGCATTGGAAAACAGCCCACTAGTGCCTGAATGTTTAATAGAGATTTTGACATGGGATGATAAATCTAAATCACAAGAGTTGTCTGCTTACATCTTGATGATATTAGCTCATCAAAGCTCTTTGCAAAGAACGAAAATGGCAGAAGGGGGAATCGTGCCCATTCTTCTTCAAGTAGCCTTGTTAGGAAGCGCACTGGCACAAAAAAGGGCTTTAAAGTTGTTGCAATGGTTCAAAGACGAGAGACAAATGAAGATGGGACCTCATTCGGGGCCGCAAACAAGAAGGTCATCCTTCAGCTCGCCAATGAATCATGTGGATGCTGGTGAAGGCAAGAAGTTAATGAAGAAGATGGTCCAACAAAGTTTGTACAAGAATATGGAAACCATTACCCGTCGTGCAAATGGGGATTCAGATAAATCAAATGCTAAACTCAAACTTTTGGCGATTAGTTCAAGTTCAAAGAGCTTGCCATATTAGATACATAAAGAAAAATACAATTTTACATCCATTGAAGTGCACTTTTGTGCATCTTTTCATTTCTTTGTACATTATAGGAAAAACATTTGTTTTGTCGATCAATTTAATAATAAGCAAAATATTTTATGTGATTTTTTAATATAAGTATCTATTTGCGTCTATATCTAAATATATAAAGGGAAGATGTTATTTCGTCTGACTCTTTTGAGTCAACATTTAGACACATCTTTAGACGCTTTTATGCAAACACATAGATTAATAAACCCATTCGGACGTGGGAGAAAATTTGGATCTCAGTTAAGTATTTGTAGTCATGTTCAATAAAAAGGTGACAATATCCAAAAAAATTCAGGTAATTAATAATATATTTTTATTAAATATTATAGTAAATTATGAATTTAATCCCTCTGATATGTGGACTTTTATGGAATTAATCCCTGAACTTCATTTATTGTATAGATAATCCGGTGGTATACACTTTTTCAAGCATTTGGTCCTTTAGCCTAACGTCCATTTATTATTTTTGTTAAGTCTGGTTAACTCAGATTCACTTTCTTCTTTTATCTTCATTTGTCTTTTTCCTCATAAAACAAAAATATGTCTATGTATTTATGTTATTATCTTTTAAATTATAAATAATAAATATACACAAACCGAGGAACCAATCCGTTGCCATCACCACCCCATTCACCCTTCCCCTTTAGCGAACATCACCACCTTTTTCTCCGTCCGACGAACATCATCATACCATCCCTTGGCTTTCCCTCCCCCACCCTAACAACAAATGCAATCCTATCATCTTCCCCGATGATAATCACAACCGCCAACCACACACATCATACACCAAAAATGGAACCTAAAAAAACACACATACATATTATTTACTCCGGTATAACCTAAGACACACACAAAGATGGAACCAAAAGTGTGTGCGCGCACACACATAGGGGTGCTCAAAAACCCGACCACACTGATCAACCCGACCAACCTGATATCTAATCAAGTTGTAAAATCTTCAAACCGTAGGTATTGGTTGGAATTTGTTTACGATCATTTGAACCCAACCCAATCCGATGGACCCGATATCCTTTTATTTCTTGAATTTAATATGATTGTTGAATCTCTATTAATAAGTGCATTAGACAATTACTATAACACCTGTATTTTTGATAGATGCATTTACAGGTTGATTGAACTACTTTTGGTTTATTAACCTTGAGTTAACGATGCTTAATTGTGTTTTATAGCCTTGGGTTGTTTTAGGGTCATATAATTAGAGAAAACGAGGATTTTTGGGCATCAAAAGGGTCCCGACAACTTGGCAAGTGACTTAGGTCATAGCCGAAGTCTCCTAACTCACTAGAATGTCAAAATGAAGGTGAAATCCCGAAGTAGAGAGTTAGGTGACCAGATATATGACTAGGGTCTCAGTTGAGGTAGCATATAAAATTAGGCGACCAAATATAAGATCAGGGTCTTAGTTGAGATAACATATAGAGTTAGGTAGGATATGCGATCATTGTCTCAGTTGAGGTAGCATATATTGGACAGAGATTTAGGTGACTATATATGCGACCAGAGTCTCAGTTGTGGTCGCATATATGAAGTTCTGACAACCACATATAAGACTTGGGTTGCATATGAGGTCGCATATGACCTGCAGACGGATAAAAAGTTCGATTTTTAGGGTTTTCACTCATTTTCTTCACCTCTTCTTTTCTCTTCTCCTCTTGGCAATTTAGGGAACTCTTGGCAACGCTTTGGAAAGATTTTTGGAGGGGATCCAACTTCTTGCTTCAAACTTTTATGTTTGGAAGTTAGGTTGAGAAAGGCTCCATGGAAAATTTCGGTTAAGAGATCTCAAGTTCTTGAAGTGGTAAGTTTTGTGAACCTTTTAAGCTCTAGTTTGGGAATCTTTGTAGATCTAAAGCTTATGCTCATTTGTGGTTCATTTCTAGACTTGAGAAAATGAATGGTTTGGATACCCTAAATATTTATTGTGAATGACTTGAAGATGGTGAAATCTCCATTTTTGGAAGCTAAGGATTTGGGTTTGGAATCTAGGTTTTATCTAACCTAGTAAGGTGAGTTCAAGTTGCTTTTGTGGAAACCATATATGCCAAAAAAATCCATTTGGAAGTCTTGGTGTTTTACTTGATATTTATCAAATGTATTGATTATTTGATGTGATTTATATCTTGGGTATATTTGATCTTATAATCATGTAAAATGCCTATATTTTGGGTTTTTTTTTATAAAACATAAGGGTGTGTTCTTTTCATGATTTATCTTATAATTGAAGGTTATTTGACGTTAATGCACTTTTAGTGTAGTTGGTTCTATAAATCGTTTGAAATATGCATATTATTGTGTTAATTGTTATAAGGCATTTTGGAAATATACATGACATGATTTCATTTGAAAAATGATTTGTCCCAACCAATGATGGGTTTTTGAGTTGATCATACTTTTGGGACAGGTGTTTGCATAAATGTTGGTTAAATGCGTTTTAATGCTTATGTTGACTTTTATTGAGCAATTAAATGAGTGTAGAGTATATTAGGTTGATTTTGACTCATTTGATCTTTGTGGAAATTTGTCCAATTTAATTTGCTTTATGTCGTGCTTTAGATATGATATAAATTTATTGCATTCTTATTTGAGAATTACATGCTTTGAGTGTGTTGGTCATCAATTTCGAGTAATTTAATTTAGACTGTAACACATCGGATCCATAGGCAAGTGAGTCAGTCTTATTTGATAAGTGGAGATTTTTGATGTCCTCGTATAAGCACTGTGGTTGTCTCGGTATTGTGGAGGTGAATTCTTATGAGTCGGGCTCTAGGACCATGAATATTGTGGTTTTGATGCTTTAACCTTTATGCCTTAGGGTTGAATGGTTTGCATTATCAAGTACAGAGTTTGAGATTTCTATCTTAAAGGCTAGGGAGTAGACACTAATGGTCGAATAGGAACCTTGAGGTTGGAACTCAAGTAGAGAATGAACGGGTACTAAGATCTGGTATCCTTGAGGTGCTCTCGGTAGGGTGTGTGCACTAAAGGTATTGTGACCTTAAGGTGGTGCCTGTGCGCTAAAGTATTGAGGACTTGAGGTGGCAATTGATATAGTATCCACTAAGTCAATGGGTCTGGGATGCACTTCGATATCATTGAGAGGGGGGGGGTACAATTAGACCATTACGTACCATCTTCATTCATATATATATATATATATATATTCACTTTCTTCTCCATTACATATATCTTCATACACATATATTTAAGGGGGGTATAATTAGACCATTACGTACCATCTTCATACATACATACACACACACACACACATATTCACTTTCTTCTCCATCTCTGCATAATCCTTCGTATATATGTTCAGTAATCTAAAAATATATATGCAAATTGAGAAAATCAGTTGAATGTGATATACTTAAGATTTAAGAAATGTAAGTTTTTATATGTTCCCCACGACACGTGTCACACAGGGTCATATAGAAATAATATGTTTGATTTCATTTGTAGAAACCCGGATTAAATCAAGCTGATTATGCAAATAAT